CGCCCTCCAAGTAACAAGAGTTTTTCTTTTTTTTTTTTCTTCGATTTTTTTCTTTTGGACTTGCCAAAGCAGCAGTCGTCATTTATAGGGGAAAATCAAAAAAAAACATTAATAAATATTACTTAGTTGTGGTGCATAGCACAGGACAGGAGGCACAAGCTACTTCAACCACTCCAAATGTGTTGCCAACAAGTTTTCTTTTTTTAATTTTTTCTTGTTAGATGAATTATTATTACTGTTTTTTTTCTCCAAAATCTTTCGAATATTATATATATATATACATTAAATAAAATGTCAATGTTATTTTTAAAATGAATAAGCATAAAATTTTTTAGCATTTATAATGCATAGCATTAGCAAAACAAAATTCTTTTTTTTATGATAAAGGCTTTTTTTTTTTACCCAGAACAGTAAATTATAAGCCAAAGAAAAAAAGTGAGATGAGCAATAACTGATTCACAGAAAAAAAAATGTTCTTAAAGTGAGTAAAACAAAAGACGAAAAAGGAGAGGATTGTGAGCTAAGAAATGTAACTTAAATAAAGAAAAAATTGCCTTTTTTCTTCTTCTAAAATTACAGCTTTCCAGAAGGCATTACAAAAGCAATTCAAATGACACCCAACTGCTCAGTTTAAACCCAAGTTTGGCTCTAATCAACCGCAGTTACTTACATACTTTTTCTGCTAGTGTTTAAATGGCATATAAACACTGTATGAAGTAAAACAGAGCAAAGAAAAAAAAGCAATAAAATTTTTGATATTGGATACTGTAGACCAGTGCTTATCTGATCTCGACTGGTAAAACCTGGGCGTTGTTGATACTGTAAAGTTGTAATTTTAGAACAGTCTATAGATATACTGCCTTCGCCAAAAGTTTTATAGCTTTCTATATTACCTTTCAAAGAAAATAGAACATTTTTCAAATAAAATCACCGCTGAAAGTACCATAACAAAAAGCGTATGATTGTAATAGGTGGTTTTAAAAAGGCAAAAAAATAGACAAAAAAGACAACTGTGATAAACAGAATCAAAAACACGTTGATTATTACCATGAACACAACGGATAAGGTTGAATGCAAATATATATATATATATTATATATTGATCACTACTCGCAGCTTCTATCACCAATTGCCCTCTTCCGCATCCTTGCTCTGTATCAATCAAATTTTTAACTGAAAAGCACGTGTTTTTGTTATTTTCGTTATAGCAGTCGCGGTTTTACACGATCTGCTTGTTGGCTTTATTCTGTTGTGGAAAGAGGAAAACAACAAAAATTTTTTTGTCGGAATATTTGAAGTAGCAGGTAATAGCAAATGATTGAAAAAAAAGAGACAAAGACAATGAAGAAGACGAAGTAGTTGAAAGTCTCTATAGTTTTCCTGCTGTGCTAATGAAAACAGTGAATTTCTGCAAGAAAAAAAATATTATTGAGGCTTATTAACTGTTATTATTGTCTGAGATTTGCAATCACTAAAGCTATAAAAATTTTGTGCTCTGAAAAGAAAAAAAAAATAATTTCAAACATTGCAGTTGTCGTTTTTTCTTCGTTTTTCTTACTTTTTTTATTTTGAACCGTTATATGAAAATCAATTCTTTTTTTTTAACAGTTAGTTTTGAAAAATTTTACCCGACTACACAGCGTTTTCGTCTAAAGAAACTAAGAGTTAGAAAGATGCGGAAGAGGATGGGGAAGGAAGGTGGAGGAGGAAGATGGCAGGCGGATGAACAGGAGATATAGAAGAAAATGGCTGTGGAACAATTTTATGACCTCTACGAATGGGGGATAATGTTGGTGGTAAAAGGATGTGGCCCTGCCAAATACTGCTCTGTACCGTGATGACAGCTGTAGGAAACCTTCACCGGGTCAACAAGCTTCTTTGTTCGTCAGATTTTCAAAACTATATTTGTTCCAAACTCAGTGGGAAAAAAAAGGGCAAGAACAAGGAAAAAGTATACCGAACGGCATGTACGACTTGAAAACTTGAATACCGTACTGAAAATATGGAGGTGCAAGAAGAATGAATTTAACTGCAGCAGAAGCCATCCGCAGTATCCTCTTTCTTTTTTTTTTTTACTAATCTTTTGCTTTTTTTTGCACTAATAAAAATTCCCATTTAACAGAAAAAAAAGAAGCAAGAAATAAATATATAAAACAAGAACGGAAGAGAAGAACAGCAGTTAAACTGAAGCCAGTATTGGAACCATAGAAAATGGCATCTTTCAATTCCTCCTCTTTGCCCACTCGCAATGTCATCCGCTATCCTGGTCATTTTTTTCGACTTTTTGTACCATAATTCTTGCTTTAATCCTTGAAATCTTAAAGTCAAATGCTTTCTTCGTCGTTCGTTTATGCTCAGAAATATGGCTGAAATCATCAATTATAAACGCTGAAACACTGCATATATGGCAGTGAAGCATGATATGATATTTGTTGACAACAAACACTGTTGTCATCATTGGCTCATAAGTGTAGAGGCCTGTAAATGTTGAGGAAAATGTTGATTAAACATTGCTAAATTAATGCTTTGCTACATTTTTGCCTGTTCATTTCATTTGACTGTTTTAAGTCTAAATTTTTTTTTCTTATTGTTGTTTTTTTTTCTTCTGTTGTTGCAAAACGATTTTATTTTTAAGTTTATAGGTTTGTACAATTTATATAAGCTATTTAACAATATATATTTGATTTACTTTTGTTGTCTGTTTTTTTTTTAATATTGCAACTTTTGTAGGGCGAACAGATTTCTTAATGCAACAGTAGTTTTGTTATTGCTGATATAAGACGATAACGCAGCTTTCTTAGGCTTCTGTCAAAGGAT